CCCTGAGCTTATTGGTCAGGAGCTTGACAAAATATATTTACATATTTTGTCAAGCTCTTGACTTGATCACAACTATGTGACCCCCTCTGGCGCCAAAGCTGGATCCGCCCTTGCTCCCAATAAGCGTTGCTGGTCTATTCTCACAAGTAATTTAACTTCTTCTATACTAATATTATAAAGAAAAAAATGTGTATTTATGGATTTTCGTATGTATTGAAATAACTCAAAAACTACTGGACCAATTTCAAATTCTTGCACCATTAAAAAGCTATGCTATCACTGAGTAACATAGGCTGTATTTTTACTATTTTTTTAATATCACGCGGGCAAAGTCACAAGCAACAGCTAGTCTAAGATAATCTGGGTTCTTTCTTAGCATAATTTTTAAACAAGAAATAAGATAAAACGTTAAAATATAGTTTTGTATACAGTCATTGTATTTCCCCCGATCGAATTGTCCCTTTCCTTGACATTATACGAGGTCTAGCTTTAGTACCTAAACCTCGTCATTGCGACCATTGATTCTAAATATTTTATAATTGGATATTTTAACGCCGGGTTTCATTGTCCAAAAACTGATTGTTAACCCTCTGAATAGATATAGTAATATTTTGGTCATAGGTGTATTGAAAGTTAAAAACATGATTTCACTTTACTACATTATATCCGCATAATAAAATAAAAATCTAGTTATAATTATAGCCTATGTTACTCAGTGATAATGTGGCTTTCTAATGGCAAATCTTATCCCTTTACAATATTATAGTTAGCTGTTCCTCGCGACTTCATCCGCGTGAAATTAAAAAATATGGCATAAGTTACTTACATACGAGTATATATTACATTTCTAATGGTGAAAGAATTTTTAAAATCGGCCTAGTAATTTTTGCGTAAATCAAATACATACAAAAATACAAATCTTTCCTCTTTATAATATTAGTATAGATATGTCAGCCAAGGGCGATAACCCAAAATAAGCAATGTCACAATCATGACAAGACTGCATATTGCTTAATTAACAATGGAACATTTCCATCGACACTGTCAAACGAAAGTTGCTAATTTTAACTCTGATACCCTTAAAATTAAGTAGATTATCGATTAATTACGTTTAGTAAGGAAAGGAACCAATTATGGTATTCGTTTGTAAATGTAACTATCAAGTGAAAGCGGTTTAAGAACCTTAAGTACAGCTGAAGGTTGCATATGAGTAAAAACTGACGCCACGTTACAATTTTTACAACTAATTATTTTAAAGAAGAGATTTCCAAACGATTACTTAAACCCTCTTCAAAATTATACTAGTTCTGATGACCCTACACTTCTTAGACTAGAGACCCCTCAATTTTATTTTCCGCTGTAGAGGGCCCGGGATCCATGGTTCCCAGGTCAGTCTTCTGACATTTATCTGAAAGTAGCCTTTAGTTTAAAATTTCAATTATTACTTTTATGCTGGGTTTCTCAAGTGTGTATTTATTTTATCGTTACCTACTAGTTTTTAGTATTAGTTTGACCTAAGCTTCAATAAAGTACACCTCAAGTTTAGTTCGGAAACGCCTTTCATAAATTTATCGAACCAAAAGCAAACAAATGGTTTTATGTAGCTGGGAAACCGGCCGTTAATTCACGTTTGCGATTGTTTTATAATGAACGTTAAATCGTTATAAAATTAGAATAGCCCTGAACGAGTTTCCTTGAATCATATTTATCGACCGTTTGAAAATCATAACCAAATAAACATCTATTGTTCTACATTACAGCGAAAACAATAGCTTGGAATGTAATGATATTTCGATTGAAGGATTGCTACCGGCATTGGCAAAATATTACATAGACTTGAGGTCTTTCAGTTTTAAATCAAAAGATGAATTGCACATT